GTCTATATATTTGTTCAAGTGTTGGTCTGATGCTATAGCTTTTTCTGCTATGTTTTCTTAGAATCATGCCTTGTCTCTAGTGTAAGCTGAAAAGGAATTGCTCTCCAACAGTTCTTTTACTAAAAAAAGAGAACCACAAAGGGCAGCTGTTAGTAAATGCTTAAACCTTTTATGAAGCACTGAAGTACCACAGATGTTTTTGAGATTGTTCTGCTTCTTCTGCATCACTGCCTCTAATGGGTACAAGTTATCATGTGATGTCTGAATTTTCTTCACTGGTTAAGGGAATAAGTTAGTGCAAAACAGGCATGATAGAAATCCTCAGTTACACCACCATAGAATTTTTGCATGCTTTTGTGTCACTAGCACAGCTTCTGAGTCTTCTATCTACATATACAAAATGGGAATAGTAATTGTCTCAGCAGTCTGTCAGGGAAAGCTGATAACTTCCTTCAAGACTAGGAAGTGCTCAGATATGGAAGGTTCTTATAGGTGTACCAGATAGACAAATCAATCAAATTCAAAAGATATAAAAAAATAGTATCTTATATGGTCAGCTATAAATCTAAAAAGATGAAGTGATACATTCAGTGTGCTTCCAATGGGCCTTTGTTTTGTCACACTGGAGAAAGGTAATAATTCGTCTTTACTTGCTGCTGAAGCTACTTGCACTGTAAAGCTCTATCTTCATTAGGATAATGGTAGAAAAATCAGACTTGGCAGCTTTATTCTCCTTTAAATCTTCCTGCCATAGTGCAACTAGAATAGCTCCAAAAATTAAAAGGAGACAAGGGAGGAATATAGATGTAAAGAGCAGAAGAAGACATTTTTATTGACAATGAGAATTAGCCAGCCAATCTTTCTAACCACAAAGCAATTTAACTTGGCCTTTTACTGCATCCATTTTCTCTGATTAATTTTTATGATTTCAGACTTCTCATCCCTTGGGGCTGGAAGTTTGCAGGACATTATTCAAGTCTGTGGTCCTGTGTCTGTCTCTCTGGTGATCCTTCAGGTGCCAGCAGCTTGGAGATCTGACACTTCTCAAATGCACAGGTAATATCAGACAAACGTGGTTCCTCTCTGTGGAATGTGCCATAGCACTGAAGTGAGTTAATACTCAGCACTTAACAGCTGTTGGCTTCTTCTGACAGCATTAATACAACATTAGACCTAGAGATATTTCGAGAGTGAGAGATGTTTTTAAGCAATTGCAGGTCTGCGAGGTTTCTCTCAAAGGTGTTTATTTAACCGGAGCTCACAGTTGCAAGACTTACAAAGAATGTATCCATACACAAGCGACAATACTAGCTTGAGTCATTTGCACACAAAATGACTCCACATGAAAAGGTTTGCATTTTCTGACTCCCCTTACAGGAAGTCTAATCTGCTGCCATCAACACAAACAAGCTTTGTCTGTTTGAAAAGTTCATTGCCTTGTTACTATGACCAAGCACAACACTGAGACAGCTGTCTCATTCCTCTGTGTTCCAATGCTGTTCCTTAAAATTACATCAAGTACTATTTACAAAAAAAGACAGCTTACAAAAATAAAGCCTAAAATAACTTTTAAAAGTCAAGGATACTTTTTTTTTTCTTTTGGGATATCTATGTCCATCTGCTACTTCTAAGTCTAATGCTCAGTAACAAATTAACCAGTCAAGAGCACATGTATTCATAAACTGCCACATAAGTGATGTAATTGTGAAGTTATACATCCTAGTTTCTTCTTTCTTTTGCTCCATTTTTGCAGTCTGTCCCTTCAGCATCTATAATTTTGTATGTATTAATTTTATCCAATTCAACTTTCCTTGGTTGAATGCCTGAGAACAACAGTCTACTAAGTCAAGGTTGAATACCCTCTTACCCTGACAGCATCTTCTCTAACTACTTACAAATCAGGTCAAGATGTAAAAGTGAGAGGCTGAACTTGATGACAATGGAGATTTCTATCTGATGCTCAAAGTTTATTATATTTCTGGTTTTATTTCAAGACAAACATAAGGAGAACAGTATATTGTGGCAGGACAGGTAAAACCCTGGAAAACATGGCACATTGTAATAGACTATTTCATATGAACTGGGAGGAAACTGTGAGAATAACAGTTTTTAATGTTTGTGTTTAAGAATGTCTGTGATGGTGATCTCTAGATAGAAGAGTTCTTTGTTGTCTAGAATTGAAGCTACTTGTTACTCTGCTAAACAAATACACGTGCAAGGTCAAAGAGCCAGATACACTTGTAGATGGAGTCTAATTCCCACTGATGTCAAGAGCAGGACTAGTCATTTATGAGCCAAGACCCTGGCAATCAACACAAAAATCACTTTCTACAGGAATGTATACCAACTCAGAGATTTTGTCATGGCATTAAATATCCTTTCAAGTGTAACTTTTAACTTGGGGAAGAAAAAACAGGCAGAATATTTCCCTCCAGTAAGGGATTTTACATATTTTGACTTGAGATGACTTATTATATATGATTTTAGAATTTTTAATCTATGTGTCATGTGTTCAGAAGGAATCCCAAAACCTGTCTTACAAACTCTAGACACATTGATAAAATAAACCACTTATAGAAGTTGTTTATATGCATATAAGCTAGCCATCCAAAAATCTCATCATACTTGACTGCTTTCTGAATATAACATCATTCCTGCAGATGGTAATCACACTGCATCGTGATGCTTGTTTTAAAAAGTGCTTTTTCTAAGGCTCTGAGCATGGCAGACTCACACACATTTGGTCAGCAGATGTTACCTCTAAGTTTATTTTATCCAAATTAATATAATTTCCAGGATCATTTAGAGCTTTGTTCTTAATGCTCCATGTCTACTCAAAAGAAAAAGTTGTACAGTTTACACTTGTAATGTATTAGTCAGTTACTAATTTAAAAGCAGATGTTAATGCTCATTTTTATACCAAAAAATCTTCTGGATGATTGTCTTCAATAAACCTCCATGTTTGGGATTTTGGGGGTTTTTTGGTTGGTTGAGGCTTGTGTTTTGTTTGTTTGTGGGTTTTTATTGTTTTTGTTATTGTGCATGGGGTTTTTTTAAGTAAGTCTCTTATACCTAGAGCACTAGATTCATGTTTAGCCTTAAGTCCCATCCACCTCAGTGGGTCTCAATGAGACTTTTGCCTCAGGTAAGACTAGAAGATGCAGACCTGATGTTCATGTGTTTTGACAAAAACATCTTCACACATTTTGAGTTCTTCAGTGCTGACAGCATTGATATTTTTTTCCTGCATCCAACCAACTCAATGCATTGAATATTTAATAATACAGGTGATATGAGGACCCGTTGTCTGACTCATGTAAATAACACAATAATTTAAACCAAACCTTCCTTCTCTACAATGTAAGGCTAAATGAATACAGTGTCTCTCAAAAAATCCTGTAAACGTTGGCGGTAATATAAAAGAAGCTAGAATAAAGTGGACATTTGGAAAAAGAATCAATTTTTCAATTTTAGAGTATTTTGCTGCCACCTCTTGGAATTTAATAAAATGTGCATTTCATTGGTTTGTAACAGAGACATAACTTAGCCCTCAACATCAATCACTAACATTATTAAAGAATATATGCATTTCTTCTTTCTTCCTTTTTGAATTCTTAACAAATATGTCAAGCTTCACTTTTCACCTTCACAGAGAGATGGAATAGCACAGATTCGAATTTAAGGCTTCATATGTGAAGAAAATACAGGAAAAAATTTGTTCATCAATCATAATTCTCAACAAATGCCATGATTAGTCAGCAGATCAAGCATTATTTGGCCATAAATAAATATAGGTAAACAAAGAAAGGAGTTGCTTACAGGTGATACCTAAATAACAATTAATTACAAATAATTGTTAGTTTAAATCTCCAAGGTTACTTGTTAGAGCTCAGGGCCTCTTTCTCCCCAGGTGTGTTGTGGCTTTTGCATAATTGCACTGGTTTTAAACTATAACTCTACATAAATAAACAAGAGGAAAACAAGTCCTAAGGCTCTGGGCTCTGTCCCACATATTCTCTCCCCGTTTTTGTTAGAGTGATTTTCTTCTTTGCAACTTACAAAAATGCAGTGCATTTTAAGGAACATTAATATATATAAATATAACACAGTATAGAGAACATGTCAGAAGTTCTTGGTTATCACTAAGACAACTGGAGCACTAATCTTATTTTAGAAAAGGAGCTATCAGAAACATTTAAACTGAGGAAGATTAGAAATGTCTGTACCTGTAAATGGTAGTGGATGGCGCTCCTTTGATGCACAGGATTGGTATTCCCAGAGCACTCTGGGATTCAGGTGCCTTCATCGTGACCCATATAGTAGACAGATGACTTCTAGGACACCAGCTCTGCAGGGACGTGCACTCCTTGGCAAAATGTCTGGCCACTGGGGGGCTGGTGCTTGCCAGGTGTGGATTGCACAACCACTCTTTGGGAAAATAAAAATTGTTGTATTAGGAGGTGCAAGCACCAGGCAATTAACTTCTGTGCCACTGTAATTTCTCCATGTCTAAAGTCTGATTTAAACTAATACACAGGTGCTAGGAGAGCTGTATTCCAGAAAGCACTAAAATGAGTATGTCTCTTACAAAAGTGCTCACATCCCAAGTAGAAAGGTTTTAGACAATTACCTAACTGCAAGAGTGGGGTCGACAAACATGTGTCAGCCCCGGTACGAGTGTCATGGATGTACGGATGCGCTCCTTGTGGGAACGGGTTATTTGCAGGACAGGGACATCGATAATAAATCCTGGCAGCGCGGCTTTGGCCCGGCTGAGGAAGTGGCGCTGCGGCGACACGAGGCCATTCCCGACTAATGAAGGCGATCGCCGGCGCGGTCGTTACCGCGCGACGGGCGGGATCGGGGAGTAGCACGGCCGGGCCCGGCCCGGGGCTCTTTCCCGCGTCTCCTTCCCGGGGCTCTTTTCCGGGGCTCTCCGCCGGGGATTTTTCCCGAGGCTCTTTGCCAGAGCTCTTGGAGGACTCGGCGGCGGCCGCGGGCACCGAGCCACCTCCGCCATGTCGGGGGGAGGCACCGCCGACTGCGGATTGCAGGTGAGCGGCGGCGGCCGGGGCAGGGTCGCTAGGGAACGGGGCCTGCGAGGAGGTTTCTGGCATTGGGAATACAATAATTCGCTGTTACAGGCAGCACACCCACAAAAATCCTCGTTGCTTTCGAAATGGAAGCCGGCAAGCAGGCTGCCTTTGGTGAGGCCACCAGGAGCTGTTCCCCGTCCCTTACAGCCGGGCTGAAGGAGCAGCCCGGCCACCAGCGGGTGCTTCGGGAGGCTCCTAAGGCCCGTGACGAGCCGCTGCTCCTCCTGGTTTGTGGGCCAGGGTCTGGAATCTGGAGATACTGGTGCATCTCTGCATGTGTTTACAATCCACAATTAAGGCCAGTGCCCTTCAGAATCACGTAAATATTATAGGTACATATTATATTAGTGACTTTTCGCAAATATTAAAATGAATGCTATATGTAGAATGTTGGAAAACTTTGCTGAATGAATACAGTTCCTTTTAGTTCTGCTATTAACAAAATTTAGAAATAGTAGTATGATAAATATCTTTTTCTCAGACTATAACATGGTGATGTAAAAAGCTTTTGTTCATGTAACTGACTCAGAGAATGGTAAAAAGATAATCAGAAAATTCTTCACATTCTTGGATTATCCTATGTGGATGAAGACGGGGTGACAAACACCAGAACTCCAGGGAAAGGATTTCTTGATCTCCATTATCAGGAGTGCACCGACAAGAAGGAGCCACAAGGAAAAAAAAAAAAAGAAAAAGTAAAAATGTTGATTTACAGGTTGGAGGGGGTGCTTTTGAATTATGCATGAAGATCCACGAATATGCAACAGGTTGATGCATTTAACTAAGTGTTCTCTGAGTTAAGGTGTGCTCTTGGTGGAATGCCAAGCACCTGACACTTGTAACCTTTTGCTTTATTGTCTCTTATTGTCTTTTATTAAAGTTTTTTAAATCTACCAGGAGATTGGACCTTGTTTTTCACAGAAATGTATTGTGTCCATGATATCCTGCTGGAGTCCAAAATATGTGAAGTTCGTCACTGCCACCTGCGTCAAGCACCTGTCCTGCAGCAGTGAAGAGCTCATTTGTGCTCACCTGCTCTCACATACCCCTCTTGTGCTCTTGCCAATCAAAACATACAAAAGTGTCACATGATGATACATCATAAGTGCCCAAAGAGGGAAAAGGGATTTGCAAGATACTTTTTTTTCTTATGCAGAAGAAATATAAATAAATACATGTAGATTTGGGGACATTTTTTATGCAGATATGTTAGGGGAATGGAGATAGAATGGATGCCCTATGCTTCAGAATAATTGTCAATTAAATGGGCTTATCTGTGTTCCTCAGTTTTACTTACATATGTGTGGGAGGGGAGAATTTGTGCCGAACTTGAACAAGTGAATCTTCCCTTTTTTGTAGAAGTTATTTGTGAAGCCATTTCAGGATGAGCTGCAGGAAGCAATTTCTGATTATGCAACAAGGAAGGAAAGAGATGAATATTCAGATGATTTTGAAAGTGATGAAGATGGCATGTTAAATGGTAAAACAAAATTTAATAATTTTCCTTGTGTTCTTCCTTTCTTAGCTCATTACTAGATCCTAGACAATCTTTATGTGTTGATATGATTTAGTGTTCCAAGATTTCATATTTTAATGACTTCTAAAGCACTGAGTCCTCCTCTACCGTGTTAGCAGCAGAATTCCCAATGAAATCAGCAGAGGTGCCAGACTGCTAGACCACACACAGTCTATATTGGTTCCTACCACTGTGGTGCCCAGTTCTCCTCCTTAGCCGTCTTGGTTACTTGACACCTGGATGAGACAGTGATGCACAGTACTGTAAATGAAAGTGGTCATGGGCAGAGAGAAAAGCAATCTTTTTTTCTTACTGATTTCCCAGTCTGGACAATCAGTGAATAAGGGCTGCAGGACACACTTCCCTGGCAGAGTATGTAAACCAGAAATAAGTTTCATCTGGCTGTTTTTCTTGGAGCAGGGTGCATTTGATGTTTGCTGATGTTTATGCTTAGTCTAACAAGATTGGCCAAATGACTCTTCTTCCTGCTCGTATGGCACTAAATGTTAAGGAAAGTGGGAATGTTAACTATGATAATGTATTTTTAAAAGGACTTCCTCTGCGGCCTGTTTTTCATTCTCACCTGAAACATCTTTTAACAATTTGTGAGACACTCTGAGTTTCCTTTGCTGACAAGATTTAGGAAAAAAAGCTCTCCAGCAGTAAATGCATTACTCTACTATCATGACATTCTTTTGTCACCTTGCTCAAACATTTGAACTCTGAAATTAGGTCAATTAGCAATATCAGGCTAGAGGAAGAAAAATATTTGTGTTAAACATGTGAACCTTAGCATTGTAGAAGATACTTCCTTTGAAGTATCTTCTAGAATATCTTCTAGTAGACTTTAAATGGGGCAGAAATGAAGGAAGGATGGGTTCTAATACCAAATGTGCCCAGCTTTGTTGTTTGATGACTTGCTTCCACTTCCTATGACATTGAGACACTGTTTTTTAGAAAGGCTTTAAATTGCATGGCAGAAAATAATTAATGAGTGAATATTTTTCTTTGGATTGGGTCCATGAAAATAAATGACAGGAAAGTAAGTAGAATAAGGTTGTAGTTTGGTGGTTTTGCAGAGATCAGAGGCAGAGAAAGAGAAATGCTCAGAAATTAAAGTCAGGAGGGTGTTGCATGAAAAATAGTGTTAAGTTATAGAAGATAGAGATTCTGTGTTGCATTTTTTCCCCACTTGTATCAAATTCACGTTGGTAATGTACTCTTTGCAGATATTAGGAAAAAGCTTACTGAAAGTAATTCGGGTTCTGCAAGCTCTGAGAGATCCGTTGCTGGGAGTCCTCTCTTGAATGATGATGCTTTACAAAAAGCAGTAGATTTGGAAAATGAAGCTGCTGATGACTTGAATTTATCCTTTTATGAAAAGAAGCTTCATCAAATAATGGTTTTAGAAGGTGAAAGCATGCAGAATGACAGAAAAGATGGTGAAGAAGAATGTTTGGAAGGTCAAAATGAGGATAATGACAGAAAAAATAATGAAGAAGTACTGCATTATAGCGAAAGTGATTACTTGCCTATTGATGAACCAAATAAAAAAAGAAATCAAGAGGAAAACCAACAAAAAGGAAAGCCTCAGATGCACAAAAAAGTAAATGCTTCGTCATCAGGTGAAAAGAAAATTGTTGCTGTTTAGCCATGTTAGAGTGTTTAAAAGTGTTTTAATTTGGGTTATTTTCTGTGTTAACCATAATCTGCTTTGGCTTGCAGACAAAGCTTCAGAAGATACACAACCTCTGTATGCCAGGGGGTAAAATGAACTAGTGTGGGCCAAGAGCAGGAGGTTCCTGTTTGCCTTTTCCTTTTGGAAGATGAGAAACAGCTGTTTAGGTCCTTAAAGTCCAGCTCTCCATCGGTGCATGTACATGGAAGGCATGAGGGGGCTGCCAAGATGCCTTCTCAGTGTGTGCATGACACAGAAACCTGTATTCACATAGTGTCCACAGCATCCATGCACCCCTTAATGGAAAGATCGTGAAACTTCTTTTCTATGACCAGGTGAAGCTATAATGTATAACATCAGAAAACGAGCTGTACCAAAACATTTGTGAATGGTAGGCATCTCATTATTTCAAAGTTAAGACTTCAAATGATCTTTTACTTTGAAGATACTGAGACACTTTGGATGTATAGTCAAAGAGATAAACCCCCCCAAACTTGAATGTTTCAGTACAGGAATAGCTAATTTATTTTTAATATACAAAGCAGAGTTTGGAATTCTGCTAATTGACTATATGTGCCAAAAGGCTTCATATTTTTTATCTGATTCCCAATATGGGAGGAATTTGCCCTGTTTGATGTTGAGATAAGTTTATGACTAGTCATTACCTGTGACGGAAGATTACAACTTTGCAATTGGTGGAGCATGATTGAAGGTATCAGTTTCCTTTTTCCTTTCCACATGATGGCACCAAAATGCAGCTTTGAATGTGCAGACACCTCTCTTTCCTTACTGGTGTGTCTGTGTAGTTTGACTGGCAGAAAAGAAGTTGAACTACTTCTTTTCTTCGTGCGAATCAAAGTAGTGCAGTGACACACTGCAATATCAGTTAAAATTCAATAAATTCAAAATTTTTGTCACCTTGAACTTTTCTTTCATCACTGTAAATTCAGGGTAAAATTCTTAGATTATGGGCATTAATGTTCCTTTCTTCAGGTAATTTGTAATCCAAAAATACTATTTTTCTAAAGAATTCCATCGAAAATTTGTGGAAGACCTCTAATTTGGTTTTACTTTTGCATTTTTTGCCCTCTGTCTGAATTGTTTTACAAATTTAGATCTCTGCATTACTGGCAGTTGATACCTGATTTAAATTAATCTTACTAATAATTACTAGTCTTACTAATAATGTGTTTCATAAATAACAATTTCACCACTTAGGCACGCATTCAGATTGAGGTGATGTTTTCTTTAAATCCCCCACTGTGGAAGTTTTTCAGTTATTCACTTGTGTGTCCCACACCCCTGAAGAACACCACACAATGAAAGCGGTATTTGTTATGCATAGTGTTAACTTGCATACTTAATTAAAAGTTTACAAGATGTCAGAAGAGCTCTTGCTGTGACTGCAATGACTCTTGCTTTTGGTTTCTGCACTGGAGCCACTTCAGGCAGATGGAAAATTTTGCCTTTGTCTTGCTCTCACATTCTTTAACATTAGTTCAGTGTCAGTTGCTACTCTAGTCTTACATGGAAATAAAAGTGAATTCTGTTCTTATTAGTATATACTTCTTAGAAGGAGGCATACAGAAAACACATTATACTATATAAGATTTAATAACAACTTTCATAGATGGATGGTTTTTCTAGAAATACATTTTGTTCAGAAAAAACAGTACTCCAAAACAATGAAGTTCTTGTTAATGTGTCCTCTCAATCTTTTTTCTCCCTTTAGATCGAGATCAGAAGATTGTTAGCACCAGTGACTCGAAACTGGAGGGGAATGGGAATGGTAGGAAATCCCTTTCTGTTGACTGTTCAGATGGAATGATGGAAATAACAGAAGGGCAGATAATAACTGAAACAATGCAGGAGGTGGCAGTGAATGATCCATCTGAGCATGGGGAGTCAAAGAACACATCCGAGAACTCTGTCAAGGTATTGCTCATATACAGTTTACCATTGTTTGGAACAATGTCCTAGAAGCACAGTGGAGAGTTTTGTAAAGTTCCTGTTCATATCTTAAGTGTGTGGAACACTGTCTGGAAAGCTGATAATTTATATCTGGTTTCTAGAGCCAAGACTCTTAAAAATTCTGTATAGCTTTATGAAAGATGTAAGGAATACCTTTTCCACAAATTATTTAAGTCAGATAAAGGTATTGAAATGTGTTTTCCAGCCTTAAGAAAGTACCCTTTTCAAAGTGAAAATATCAAATCTCTTTTGTGAGGATACCTGAATAGCAGTGAGCATTGTGTGTTGGCAGAGGGTGGAATGTGTGACCTGAATAATGGAAAAGATACAAAGCACTCTATGCTTTATCCTAAAAAGAAAATGTAGATACAGGTAGTTATTAAAGCTAAGTATTCAAAAGACATAAAAGTGTTTGTAGAATAAACCAGCTGTGTTCTTTTTATTATTTCTAGACTATTGACTGTATTTTTGCATAATACAAATGAATATTCCTAGCTGCCATTCCAAAATGATACAGGCATTCTGAAAGTTGGTTGGTTGGTTGGTTGGTTGGTTGGTTGGTTGGTTGGTTGGTTGGTTGGTTTGGGGGCTTTCTTAGTTTTGGTTTTTTTTCTCCTTACTTTCTTACCTTCTATACCCTCTCTTTATTAAGGTGTCTTTCATGCCTGTTTTTATAACATCATGAGACCATGGAATATCTTAACTTGGAAAGGATTCATAAGGGCTGAGTCCAATTCTCAGTGTTCTTGTTAGCTTGTAAAAACTTGTTTCATCCTGATCTGTTGCTTAAGAGACTCTATGACTTTACTTTTCTCTCTGTGTTTCTTAGAAACTAAGTGAAACAAAGGAGAGAGTTCTACAAAACCCAAAGACTTCTTTATCTGACAGGTAAGAGAAGAATGGCAGGTATTGGTCTGAGCCATTTAAGATGCCTGTAAGTGCCCCATCAATGCTGCTCCCCTCTCATTTTCTGTCAGCATTGTCCTTGCTGATGACAACCTCTGACCGTCTGAGGAAAACAGTTTAGTGCATGTGGCAAGTTGTTACGACTGTTGTTCAGGTTTATGTCAGATCAGACTCCCAGATCTTTTGCCAGTGTCTGTGATGAGTGTATTACTGGAGTCTTTACAGGCTCTAAGCTATTTTTTAGAAGAAAGTGTAAGAGATTTGTAAACTTACAAGAGGTAAGTTCTTTCTCCTTTTCCTTTCCCCAGTCCCCATTCAAGTGTATGTAAAAAACAGAATCACAGTAATTTTTGGTATGCACTGAAATAAGAGGAATGCTATTTGGTATGAACTACAGTAAATTGAAAGATCATTAATTTGGTTTTGTCCTGGCATTTTCCTAGGTCTACATCTTTTGTGCGTTTAAAGAGAAAAGGGAAAGCTGTTCCATCAACTTCACCTGTTTCATCTCAGTATCTGGGATCATTAAAGGTGTTAGAGGATAAATGCATGCAGAAGAAAAGTCCAGAATTCAGCAAAGTAGATAACTTAAGGGCAGCTGTTTTTCAGGTAGATTTTAAAAATGAACAAGCCAACAAACAAAATGGTGCATATAAAGGTCCTGATACAGGGGTCAACACCTCATATTTTCTTGAAATCAGTATTTTTTATCATATTCATTTCATTGTCTTACAGGTATAGTAATCTTTTTAGTCTGTTGGCTGTGCTTTTTCCTCCTATTATGAACAAAAAGCTCAATTAAAGGGATGTAGTATTTTTATGTGGTTCATAATTTATCGTGTCAGACTATTTTCAGGTGCATATTTTCCATTATTTCTACTTCATCCTTAGCCTAAGTGTGTACTTACAGTTTGTTTTTTTCCTGATCTGTTCTATTCAAATGACATTCAGGAAAAGAGATAAAAAATCCTGTACTCTTTCCAGAAGAATAATCTATGTAAGTTCCTTGTAGAATTTCACAACAATTATTTTCACGGTTTCAACAGATTTTTGCTAATCTGTTTGAGAACAACTCTTATTAACAGGCACTATTCATATTGGTATGTGTTTTTAATACTAGTTATAGTCCTAAAACAAATTTTAGACCCTCAAATCCATATTTATATTGTCTCCACAGTTTTTGAAGGTAGAACAGTCTTTCTTCACTTAGGACACTTTTATCTTTGAGCTGCATATCACATATATAGTTAATTCTTGAAAATTTAAGCCTGATTCTGCAGTTGGCTCATAACCTTTTATGTCTGAAGTTTCACTTTTTCCCAGTAGGATTTTATTCTCTTTAATTATGGGTATTTTCAAGAGAGACAACAAATGTAAATAATATTCCTATATGCCAAGTGATAAGAATCTTTATTCCATTCTCCTATTTAATTTATTCTTACATTTTTGTTGGTGTTTCTAGGGAGATGTTTTTTAAAAGATCTTTAAACTTTTCTAGATTTTGTAGCTGTGATTTTAGAACCTTAGGGTTTTTTTTATCACAATGTTCTTGTAATGACAGCTTAGTTTTCCACATGGGATGCTTATTTAACTAGCACATGGAAGAACTAAGAGTCATTTTGGTGGTCATTATATTGGTGCTGCTCTTTACTTATACCTTAAAAAGAATTTTAAAATATTTTAATGATTCTTACAGAACTGGTTGGAAAAGAAAAAGCTCCTTCTACTGGAATTAAAGAGAAATGAAAAGGAGAAAGCTGAAATTCTAAGGAAGAATACTGAACAGGTTTGTTTACATTGTTGTTTAAAAAGAAGTTTACAAACTATGATTCTTTGAAGTGTGCTCTCTGCCTAAGTGCAGCCCCCTGCTGTTGTAAGGTATCTGGTTTTCTCCAAATAGCTCGAGGTGATGTGAAACAATAAATGGCATGTCCTGCTTGTTAAGGTTGTAGTAAACAGTGTCTGTCCAATGCTTCCTACACATTTACATAAAGTGTGTTAAAAATGTACTTCCTAGATTGATATTCAAGTTAGTTTACAAAGACCTTGGGATGCTTAACTCTTAAGTTGCTAAGTTTTGTTCTGTGCATGGGAACATGAGGCATTCACTCCCTGCTTATCTAGAGGACTCTATCTTGGATAGTATCATGCACATTCTTTGATTTGGCTTTTAAGTATTTAATATATTTCACTTCTAAGCACTTAACATGCATTTCATATCCTTCTACACATATTTTGTGGGAGCAGTTAGTCTCATTCAATTAAATTTAAAATGGGCATAGAAAAAAGCCCCCTATATATGCTTAAAATTTAATTGTAATACCTGCAATGTTGTCAGCAAATCAATGTCTGTTTCTTTATTGCTCTGTTTAGAAATAAGTTTAAAGCATACTATTTCACTTAGAATTTTATACTGAAATTGTTTTAAATGTAGACTTTTATTTCCAATCTAGAAAGAAGCACTTAAAAGAGAAGAATCAATTGCATGTTATGAAGCCTGGAAAAAAAAGAAAGAGAAGGAAGCAAAGAAGTTAAGTGAAAAAAAAAAGCTTGAGGCACTTGAGGAAAACAAGCCAGCAGAACAGAATAAGGAAAAAGCAGAAGCTGCACAAGCGGTGATGTGAAATATGTACATAAATGTGTATTTGAATGTGGTTCTGGAGATGATAAAAAATAATTTTGAGTAATCCAGAAAGAGATGGAAATGAACTAGAATCTTAAATCTAAATATGCTTAGTTTTTGAAGAAAGCTTGTGTTAGGTTTGGTTCTGTCAGAAATATATAATGTTTACACTTGCAGACAAACAGGCGCTTATATTTGGAGTCTATTAACTGAGTATAAAATAAACTTCATACAAATACTTTAGCAATTAACTATTACCTACTGGAAAAATAAGATTCTTTTTAGGTATAGTGATACCCACTTTTGAGCAATTCTACAAGCAAATATGCTAAAATTAGAATGTGTAGAAATTACAAAAAATAATGCAGAATAGACTAGTGGAGTATTGACAGAAAGGTGAGAGGTAAGATTTCTCATGTATCTGTGGTTGTCTTTAGGCATTCAAAAAATGGAAAGAAAGAAAAGTGGAATATTTAAGAGAGCAAAGCAAGAAGGAAAAACAGTCTGAAAGATTGAGGAAGAAGATAGAAGAGGACCTGGTTGCAGAGAAGAGGAGAGTCAGTGTATCAGCAGTTGAAAAATGGTACTTCTCCACTGTGTTTGCTATATCATAGATTCCAAAATCCTTGCTTATAAATGTAATAGGTCTTCTGTGAATGCTTGATGTGCTTGTATTTGGAAGACAATGGAATACTTGCGATAGACTTCATTCCCAATGCAGACTAAGTCTAACAGTGAAAACAAGCTGTGAAGCTCCCTTCAGTTTATTAATTTAGTTGCTTTCCTCCCCAAGAGGATATTAACTGAGCCCAGGCAGAGATACTGCAAATGAGAAAATTCATTAAGTAGTATTGTGTCTTACGTAGTTATTTTCATGCTTCATTACTAAGCCATAGGAAGGAAGGTAAATCTTTAAAGTTTTGTGGAATACAATGTAGGAATACAGATGTAGGAAGAAGGAAATGAGATGTATCTGCTGGAGGTATTCTATACTAGTTTTACAAGCCAAGAGTTTTCACAGACAATGCACAACTTAGTTACCTACAGAAGTTCAGATTTTATTTTTTGTTTTTATTATACTAAATAAGGGAGAACAAAGTACAGAAAAAGTTATGTCATAATAGATGGAGTAGTAAATTATTTATACCTTGGTGATGTATAAAAATAGGCATGGAAGATTTTAAATACATATTTTCAATCTTTTATTAAAGATATAAAATACATATTTTGACTCAATTTACTTAATTGGTCACAGATGCAGCTTTTAGTCTGTACCTGATGACCTCTTGCTCTTCCGTCTCACTATGCAGGAATGAAAAGAAGGAAGAATATATAAAGAAGAAGAGAATAGACATATTCATAGAGAAAAGAAAGCGAGAAATGCAACAGGCAAAGAAGGAAGAAAGAAGTGAAAAGGCTATGGAGGAATATGAAAGATGGCTGGTATGTTTGGTTGAGTTTTTTTGGGTTTTTTTGCATTTTATCAAAACCAAAACTTTTGATGTAGTAATGAATGTGAGCACTTAAGTATTGTAACACTTGTGGGGTGAGAGAGAGGCCAGACGGTGGCAACATTACATTACTTGTCCCCCAGAATTTGTGAGCAAAATGCATGGTGCATTTGATATCTGACGTACATGGAAGATATAGTCTCCCTACCTGCATATCGTAGTTTTCAATTTCCGTTAGTCTTCATTTTTTGCTGTTCTATATCAGGAGCAACCACCTCTGAAGGGCCAGTTATCCAGAGCACAAAACCTGCAAATCCCAACAGCGTCACCAGCTGCAAGGGTCAGTGCTTGTACATTCAAGGAAGCACTGAAAATGGAGACTTGGATACCTCACAGCTGCTAAAAGGACTTTTAATGAGGTTCAAGATGATTTCCATTTGCAAGAATGGGTGGAACTCTGATGCTCCCAATTACATTCTTCTCACAGCAGTGTCTCAGTTGTAAAGCAGTAAATTAATCCAGTGCTCTAGTCCCAATAATAAAGTAGGGTTTTTTTCCTTGCTGCAGAAAGACAAACTAGAAAAGAGATCACTAATATTCTTAGCATATTGTTTTCTTAAAGGTATGTGACTTGCCAGTTAAAGAAGAACCTGTTTTAATTCCCCAACCTGTGACACAGTCTTTCTTCATGCTGATTGTCAAGGTTATTAGTTAGAAAGTGTTTCTTCTGTTGTGTCTTTCATGTGATTTCTGCCACATCTTGTACATGTGGTCTCTGTTGCCATTTTTAAGAATGGAATATTGCAACCCAGCTGGATTAAGGTCCTTACAGTATTTCCTCTTTACTGTCAATAGCTTATTTATTTTTTACATTTTTTTTTCAGGAGGGAGAGGCAGAGTCAGGCAGCTATACTGGTGTGGGACAGGTTTAGAGAGCAGTTGCACAAAACAGCAGGAGCCTACATGTTTTCCCTTCTCTCTGTTTCCAAACTTCTTTAGTCTTTGGTTTAGATCTTTTAAGATGTTTGACCTGGTCCCTGGTTGAAATAGCTGTCATTTCTGTAATCACTGATAAGAAGTTTTTTTTCTGGTCCCCATTGTCAAGACATTTTCAACTCAGTTTAGCAGATGATTAATGTCTGATCTTAGGTTATTTCTTACTTGGTCAATATTCACAATTGCCATAGTAAGGAGTACTATGCTTTGAGCAGTAACTGATGCATTGCCCTGGTATGCTCTGCTTACTGAGTGTCCTAATTAGCTTAGTTGTACCAAAGCAAGAATGTTACTTCTCATTGTACATTTGACTTCTATGTTGGTTTGAAAGTAAAACCAGTGCGAGACTCCAAGTCAGTAATACAATTTAATAGGAGAAAAGAGAAAAAATAAAATACATGCAATAATATAAAAGAAACAACCACCAACACAGTCAGAAATACAACCTGACACCCTGTCAGTCAGGGTGTTGGTAGCAGTCCGTATAAATGGTGGCTGCAGTCCTCCTGGATGACAGATGTGGTTCAGTTGAAGCAGTGCTCCCGTAGAAGGTGCAGTTTTCCTCCGAAGATCCAGCGATGATGTGGAAAAGGTCCGACTTTCCTCTGGGATCCAGTGGAAAGGTCTGCCTTTGCGTCCCAATCCCCAGTTTTTTATCTAGGTAGGAAAGGCTTGGCTCCTGCCCCTGGCTGGGGTGTTACCTCTCGTGAGGCAAGGCGACCCGGCTCGAGAAGGACACGACGGCTCAATTACAGGTCGTTCGGGCCAATCACTCACAAACACCAATATGGTAGATGGTGAAATGGCGTTTATTTCCTCTTCGCGTGCTCTTATATAACTACGGTCTGCTGACATCATCACTAATCTCTTATTGGTTAACCCAACTGGAGGGGCGGGGCCCTATCTTCCCGTACATCGCGATGATCTTCCGACTGAACCTTTCTGTCTAACCACGTTTCCCCCCGCCTCCATGATTAAACAGAACTATAGAATATATCAGAACAATACAAACATTAATTCTTAACCATGTTAATTACAAAAAAATACAAAAACAAAGGTTGTAGCAAATACGTTGCAATATTTCAAACAAGTGGTTAACAGAATTCTTGAAACTACTTAAGATAACTGTTTCTGTTCTAACAGCATAATATCAATTTTACTTAAGCGGGCCTTAACAAATTGTACTAGTTTGTTGAGAATACAAGGGCCAAAAAGCAACACAAGTAAAATCATTATAACTGGTCCTGCTAAAGTGGATATTATAGTGGCAGCCCAAGGAAAATGGTCAAAAAGCGATTCAAACCAGCTTTGTTTAGTGTCTCTGTCTCTCTTTCTTTGCGCTAGCCTTTCCCAGAGTCTGTCATTGACTCTTTAATTATACCTGAATGATTGGCATAGAAACAACACTGTTCCTTCAGGGCAGCACATAAGCCTCCTTGGTGCATGAGTAAAAGGTCTAGTCCGCGTCTCTTTTGTAATACCACTTCAGAAAGTGAAGAGAGAGACTCTTCTAAGAAGGAAATGGACTTTTCAATTCTTTGTAGGTCCTCATCGATGGTCATTTGGAGCTGTGTTAGGCCTTGTCCTTGGGACACCAGGGCCGAAACGCCTGTTGCGGTGCCTGTTGCCCCTAAGCCAAGGAGTATCGCAAGCGTGACGCCTGTTAGTAGTTCTCTCTTTTGTCGCTGGGCGTATCTTTCCAGGTAACGACCTACCTCATCATCTGTGTGGTATAGGACTTTAGGGAAAATAACAACTTGAACACAAAAGTCATTACTGACATCAAAGTCTTTGACTGATATGCAAGGGCTGACACCTGTGTTATTGCAGGCCCACACTCCTGAGGCCGAGGGAACAACCCAGGAGTATGTTATATTAATGGCAGTAAAAGTTTTGCAAATATGTCTGTTCTGTTGAATTAACCGTTGACTGCCGATACAAATTCCTTGGCCAGTAATTAAAGATAATGTAACCCCTTTCCGGGGGGTATTCCATCGGCATTGAGTCGGGTTGGAATCCTTAGAATAGGTAAACGGGATATCAAGGGCTACACCCTCATAAAATGGAGGGTAGGTGTCATAACAAAGCCAACAAGAGTTAGTAAGATTTGGCTCAGATGCGTTCAGTGGCTGAAAGACAGCATCCAACATGCGGTAAAATAAATCATAGGGGGCTGCCTCATGTGTATTGTGGGGGTATGTCAAGTTGGTAAACAAAAGGCTTTGCAAGGTGGGCTTGGGAGTAACATTAGCAGGGCCTATTGTTTGGGGGTTAGCTATAACTTCTTTTTTTAATTTCGTCTGGCCTAAAATTTTGTTGGGTCCAATGGCAGTGTATGATTTCGGGAGGACCCTGATAATTTGGACAACTGTACTCCAGTCTGTGCCCCAGCTATGGATAAATACCGACCACATTCTGCCTAAAGACCAACTCTTATCTTGTGGTCGCAGGACTATTACTTCTAGATGGGTGCAGGTTCCACCTGCCTTTACCATACCATCTACTTCAAAAGTGGGTGTCTTACAGTTGCCTGGCCAATATTTTACTTCCAAAAATTCATCCTTTTTGACTGGTTTCCATCTATTGCTGGTTACAATGGTCTCGCAACCCCAGTATCCACAAAATCAGTATCCTGGATAGGTGCAATAACTTTTTCCTGGGTTTGAACTGGGGCACTAATAGGTTCCCCAATGTACTTGTTGACCAGTGCCTTGTGGGTGAAATATGTCTTTAAGGTTGACAATGAAATTGGGGGCATTGGCTACAGTCTTTTTTACTATTATTCTACCATCCGTAGGATTGCGGAAAATCCATGTATATGGCCGATAAGGATGGTACTCTGAGTTTGCCTGCCCTGGAGGAAGCAATAACATGAACAGGAAAGTACAAAAACACAGGCATTGTTTAGGGTTTACCATCGCCGGCTTCTTAGGCACCATGGGAGTGCTTCTCATCTTGTTTTCACTTTTCGTCATTGGAACGTAGAGATGGTAGGGAGAGTCACAACTCCAGACCTGTTAAGAGAAACTCAGAATTTTCATTAGTTTTGTTACGCAAGACCGGTTTTATTGATTTTAGTGGACACCATTTGATGTTGTTATCCCTTTTTACTGCTGCGTAACCTCGGCCTGCCAAAACTAATTTCCACCCTGATTCCCACTCTCCCAGTTCATTTTTGATACTAACTGGTGGGCCTTCTTCTAGCACCTGAGTGGACCAGTGCCTTTTAATGGGACAATGTGTTGCATCTCCCCTGGGGAATTGGTTTAATGCCAACAGAGCGGTGGCGAGCAGGCGTGGTTGTTCCTTTGGGGGAATGTTTTTAGTGAGTCCTTCTGCCTGGGCTAGAGTCTCCAATTTAGATTTCAGGGTCTGGTTTGCTCTTTCGACGATGGCTTGCCCTGTGCTGTTGTATGGAATGCCGTGTGTCAGAGAGATGTTCCACTTGGTAGCAAACGATTGAATCGACTTGGAAGTAAAGTTTGGTCCATTGTCTGTCTTAATTTGTTTTGGGATGCCACGCCATGCCATGGCCGTTAACCAATGCTGAACAGTTGCCTTAGAATTTATTTTTGCATGTTGGGTTGCTACAATCATGCCACTTACGTGTCCACTGTTACTGCAAGCCAGGCTCTGGGCTTTAATATTTGACAGAGAGTAAGGTCTGTTTGCCAGATTTCTGAGGCCTTAAGGCCTCTAGGATTAACTCCACCGGACCACAAGGGTGTTTTCTGGCAATGAGGGCAGGTGGCAACTATATGTCTGGCGTCTGTGATTGGAATGCTGCACCTTTTTGCAAGTGCCTTGGCTCCAATGTGGAGTGATTCATGTAACTGTCGTGTATCCTGTAGGGTCCAAAGTCCTTTTGCCGCAGCATCCACTTTGTCATTGCCAATCTGGAAAAATCCTTTGATAGGACTATGACTATTGATATGGATGACCAATGTGGTACCTTGCCGTGAGGAGACTGCTTCTTCGATCATAACGGCTGCAGAT